TCCGCGTACTTCACTCCTCCCCGGGACCTCCCCCACCTCATCGCCTTTCTCACTTCACCCTGTCCGCTTCAGCCCTCCTCCTCTCCATCCCCCCTCCTCGCAAACCATCTCCATGTGCCACGAATTCTCAATCATCTCCAAGTATGCCGAGGATAATCCAGCCTTGGCGACGAGGACCCTCTAGGGCGCAGCGGTATCAATACCTTGGTCGAGTCGATCTTCGTCCTGTGAATATTTCCAATCCTCGCCCTTCTCGTCGCTTTCTCCGTCCTCCTCTTCCCTCCTCCCGTCGGTGTCCTCCTCCTCTTCCTCCGCCCTTGTCCTCGTCCTCCCCCCGTGCCCCCTCCCATCGTCCTCCTCGCCCCTTTGCGCACTCGACCTACATTTCCGCTCCTGGCCCCCTTCTGGCCCTTCCCGCCGCCCCCCCCCCCCCAAATACTGGCGCCTCGCGGGCAGTTTTCCATCCGCCGTGGCCGTCCGTCACACCCGAACCCATCTAGCCGATCGGCTTTCGTCTCAGCACCAAGGTACGACGACGGCCGGCGGATAAATTTCAAACAAACTAAAGCTGCAAAGCCAACGCGGGTGAACCCGATGGATATTGAAAGATTTGGCGACATGGCCGATTTCGGTGGGCGACCAGGTTGCCAGGTTCCCAGTTCCCGGTTCCCTGGTTCCCAATTTCAGGTTCCAGGTCGATCTCGGTGGGCGGCGGGGTTCGTGGGGTTCCAATATCTGGTTCACGGTTTCCTCGGTTCCTGGTCGATCTCACGATCGATTTCACGGTCGATACCGTCATTCATAACAATCAATCGATCTCACGATCGATATAACAGTTGGTATTCAATTCGGTTTCGCTATCAACTTCACTATCACTATCACGGTCGATCACACGTTGCATATCAAAATCGATCCCACCATAAACATCATGATCGGTCACACGAACGATCTCACTATCGGTCTCACGATCGCTCTCACGACCAGCCTCAGTATCGACGTCATCATCGACTTCACGATGGATACCACTGTCGATGCCACTAACTCGATCCCATTATCTATCTGACGACCGATATCCCATTCAAGCAAACTGTCGGTTTCCCAATCGATATCACTCAATCAATTCCATTACCGACCTCATGAACGAACACCCGATAGCTCTTACGGTCGATTTCGTGAACGATCCCACTCGATCGACATTACGTTCGATATCACAATCAATATCGCGATGGATCTCGCAATCGATGTCACTCAATCGACTTCATTACCCGCCTTTTCTTTCTCGATGCCACTATCGATCCTGGGATCGATAATGCTTCCGATCTCTTCTAATCGATGTCACGATCGCTAACATAATATTCCCGGGTAGTTGTTTGGATAGCTGAAAGGGCTTCAAATTCTAGACGCTTCGCGCACCCCCACCAGCCCATCCAGAAACGATGTCCAAGCGATTTGAGAGGTGATCATGGAAGTGAAGGAGCAAAGACGAAGACGGCCGAACCGTGTGAAGGAGAGAGGGGGGGAAGGAGAAAAGTTGATGGATGGTTGAGGGAGAATGAAGGAGGATGAATATAATGAGGAGGAGGAGGAGGAGGAGGAGGAGGAGGAGGAGGAGGAGGAGGAGGAGGATGGGGAAAAGGAGGATGAGAAGGGGTAGGAGGAGGAAAGAGGAGGAAGAGGAGAGCAGGCAAAAGGGCCAGGCGTCTTTTGGATGCTTCTCGGAACCTTTTGGGGCATCTCTTGGGCGTCTTGGGACGTCTTGGGGGTCTCTTGGCGGTCGTGGGGGGCTCTTCGGCGTTTTGGGTGCCTCGTGGTGGCTTATTGGGGCCGCTTGGGGTCCTTTTGGGGGCCTCCTGGGGGCCTCTTGGGGCCATCTTGGGGCCATCTTGGGACCTCTTGGGGCCTCCTGGGCGCTTCTTGGGGCCATCCTGGAGGAGATCGATCAAACAAGAGGGGAGCTTGAATTAGCATCCCCCCCAACAAAAACCAACATGGGGCCAAAACCATTGTAAAACCAATGATGTTGGCTTCCTCGCCGAGGCCGTTTTGGACGTTCCGACACCTCGCGGAAACCCCTGTCCAGGTCCAGGGGACGGGGTAGGGGAGGGGTAAATCCCTCCCCGACATGGGGGAAAAGGAGGGGTGGAAGAGGAAACTCCTTAAACCACCTACGCCCAGGGGGCTGGTGGGATTAGAAGCCAGCAGGCAAGGCTGCGCCAGCTCATTTCCGAGGCTCCCGGGCAAGCATCCCCGCAACTAATTTTTTGAGCCGGCAGCGTGTGCCGAGAAGCGGTGTCCTACTCGTTCCCAATGCGCGTGCCTGAAGTCATGCCGCAGGTCCGTCGCAGCTCCTTGGAAGTTCCTTCGAAGCATGCTTTTCGAAGCTTGCAAACTCCCGAAGCATGCTTCCCAGCGTCCTGACAAGCGTATCCTCGAAGCTTGCCAGCACCCCGGGCGTACTTTCTGGCGTCCTTGCAAGCGTATCCCAGAAGCGTGTTACGTGATCTATCCGTACTTTAGCTGCTCCGACCTGTGCTCCGACTCGAGCAGGTCGCTAAGCTGCTCCGAACTGAGCAGGTCGTGAAAATGCTCCGACCTGAGCAGGTCGCGAAACTGATCCAACCTGACCAGGGTGTAACTTCATCGACCTGAGGAAGTCGCAAATCTGCTCCGGCCTGAACAAGTCGTACAACTGCTCCGATCTGAGCAAGTCGTAAAACTGTTTCGACCTGAGCAGATCGTAAAACTGATCCGGCCTGAGCAGGTTATCCCGGGATGGTTCGTAGAGGGCTAACGAAGGCTTCAGATGAAGAAACCGGATCCGCAGGGTAGCCCTGGAGATCGTTCTGGCGTCGGTCCAGACACCTCGGCGCGCCCTGCTTGAAACCGCATCGTGTCCCAAGAAACCTTTTCGAAGCGTTTCCCAAAACGCGTGCCGGGCAGTTCCCCAGAAAGTCCTTCGGAAGCTCTCTAGGTCATTGAATTCTTCGCCAAGCCTTTCCACACCCTTCGGGCGCTTTGCTATCCGGGCTTGGGACCCCGATTGCTAACACGGGACACACCCGCGCCACGGGACACCACGGGACACCACGGGACACCAAGGGATACCATCATAACAGCATCGGCGCACCATCGGGACAGCACCGGAACATCATCGGGACACCACAAGGCCAATGCTGGCCAACCCAGGGAACAGCAATGTTCGGTTCGGTTTGGCCCTCGTAACGGCGGGTTGACGTTTCTCGCCCGCCCACGCAGCTTCGCCTCGCCCGCACTCACGACACGAACGTGAATCCGAAACCGATTTCGTGCTTGATGGAAGTCTCCATTGCACTGCAATCTCATCCCCCAACCTCCTATGTATAGAGAGAGGGAGAGAAAGAGAGAGAGAGAGAGAGAACCAATCAACTTCGATAAATAATGAGAGAGGCAGAGTAGAGAGAGAGAGATACATAAAGAACACATGCGTGTACGTATCTGTGAATGTACGCACACAGTTGTATTAATATAAGTACGTATGTCTGTGTAAACATAGACACGCACAATAGAAAACGTGTGACATATATATATATATATATATATATACATATATATACCGTGTGAGGGTGAGCAGCACAAGAGAGACACAGAGAGAAGAGTGACTAACATATAACAACTAGACTACACTAGAACGTATATTCAAATTAAACTAGGGCAGGAAAAATGACAAGTGAAGTACAGGTGAACAAAACGAATCATCAAACTGACAGCTGCAGAGCCAACACGGATGACCTATTTCAAGGGCATGAGCTACACTCTTCTGGAGAGGACGATCCAGCCATCTCAAAGATGATGATGACGACCACGATCACGGCCAGAACCTAACACATACCTCAGGGCTCTGCTGCGTGACGGTTCCCCCCTGGCGTCTTGATCGCAATCCTTAACTCAAGCCTGAGGTTGCTGCTCGGGACGATTCGGGTGGCCCCAGACGCCTCTCGACGAGGCGCAAGCGACGGAAAACCACTGCGGCAGGCACGCCCATGTTTCGGTGGCCGCGTCCCTTACGCCACGCCAGCAAGGGGCGTTTAATGAGCGCTGCCTGGCTGAGGTTTTCTGGATAACTCCCCGCCTGGACAAGGCGCCAGCGACCGCCGCGAGCGTGGCTGAGAGTTGGCAACGCCGCGTGCGGCGGCAGGAGATCCTAGTGAGGGACTTGACCACCGGAGACGCCGCTCCTATTAGGGAGCACGGCGCTCCAGAGGTCTCCTTTCAGGGGGCTCGGTGGCCGGAGACCCCTAGAGGCCTCATAGATGGGGTCGGGGTAGATGGGGTCGGGGGATCGCGCCGCATCGCCGATACATCTGCGATGCATCTGCGATGCATCGTCGACGTGGGCGATGCATCGGCGTCGTCGGCGTGGAGGAAGTCGGGCTACGCATTGAGCCGCATCGCCGATGCATCGGCGATGCGGCGCGATCCGCCGACCCCTTCTTCTCCGACCCCATCTAGGCGGCCTAGACCCTTTCAGGTGACTCGGCCACGGGAGACGCCGCTCCTAGTAGGGAGCAGGGCGTGCCAGAGGTTCCTTTCAGTGGACTTGGCCTCTGGAGGCCACTCCTGTCGGGGAGCACTCGGCTGGCCTTGTCCAGGTGCCGCGTGCGGGAGCACTGCGGCGGGAGGTCGTTCGGCGCCGCGTGCGTCCGCCGGCGAGCGCGAGCGCCTCTGCCCACGCCACCTGGAAGCGGGTGCGAGCACGCAGGCCTTCCAACGGAGGAACGAGGATCTCGCGCCACGAGAGCCAAGCAGACCTCGCCAACAAGCTGCGTTCAGCTTACCGCCACTGCTCCGCGGAGGCGCGCTGGCTCACCAGGAGTCGCAGGCCCGCGATGCGGGCACGGTGACGCGGATGCGCCGAGCAAGCCGGGAAGCAGTGCAAGGGCCTGCTCCTGATGTCAAATCTTTCTGCAGAGTCACCTCTGCAGAAAGGAGGAGGAGGAGGAGGAGGAGGAGGAGAGGCATGAAAGCCACCCGTGCCATGGGCACGACAAGCTTTCAGGAAGCCGCCGCAGGCCCCCAGGAGCCTCCGAGGCAGGCGCCCCTCGACGGAGCGCAGCCGATGGGGAGCAGCCCCGGGCCCGAGGACCTCGAGATACATGTTTTGGTCTGCGGGTCGAGAGCGAGCCTCTGACGAACGAGCAACACACACCCATACCCATAGGAGGGTCGGAAGGAGGAGGACTGGCTATGGGTATGGGCGCGAGTTGTCGGACCCCGGGAGAAACTCCCGTTCGCGCGGGGACCCCCATCCGACAACACGCACCCATAGCCCCCTCCGTCCCCCCTGTGGGTATGGGTGCGTGTTGTTCGTTCGTCAGCCTCTTCCGGTTAAAAGCTAGGCGGGCTACGCGAAGCTCTAATTGGGGAGACAGAGCACAGGCGGGCGGGGCCTCAGGCGGCTGGAGGGCGGGCCGGAGGGCAGGCGAGGAGCTTGCACAGGAAAAGGAAAGATACAGTCAACCAGTCTTGTAAGGATGCGCGGTAAGGATGCAAGGGCGGCCAGCGAGAGTCGCTGTGGATGGCCAGCGAAAGTCGCTATGGATGGGCCGAGGAGGCAGGGACGCATGGGTACCCTTGAGAAGGGTGCCCCTCCTTACTATGCAAGTTGACTGCACGACCATCACCAGAAACATCTGGAGCGGGGGGGTGGCAACGCTCCTCGACGGGGCGCCGCCGATGGAAGTACGGCCGGCTCGTGTCGCCATGACGTCGGCATTACATCCGGCCCGTATCACAAGGATGCGCAACAAGGATGCAAGGGCCTTGGAAGCCCATTTCCAAGCTTATCGAGCGGGGCGCGGCCGACGAGAGTTGCCAAGGATGGACCCGAGGAGGCAAGGATGCAAGGGTACGTTTGGGAAGGATGCCCATCCTTGCCATGCGCGTCGACTGTAGCTTCTGACAGCGCGTGGCTCGCGCAGCCTCAAACGAGCGGCGGCTGCCCCAATGCGCGGATCGTTCATCGGCGGCGAGCCCCCGGGGGGAAGTGAGCAGGGGCGGGCCTTTTCAGGAGGCTCGGAAGTCCCCGCGTCCTTCCGAGAAGTTTTCTAAGCCTGCCCCAGAGACACTTTTTTGGGTCTGCAGGCCGAGAGCGAACATCTTCTGCTGAAAGCTACGCGGGACGCGCACAGCTTTAGTTGGCAGAGAAAGGGCGGGAGAAGGCGGGGCATCACGCGGCCAGGGGCGGGCGAAACACAGGGATCAGGCGGTGCCGAACGGGACGTGCAGGAAAAGGTACACCTTGGACAGGAGCCCGGGCCCCAGAGACACAGAAGACCTCTCAGAAGGCGCGAGGGCTCCTGAAAAAGTCCCCCCCTCTCGCTCGCCGCCGAGTTCAGCACCCGGCCGACTCTGTGGACCACGGGCAGCGTTCCGCCTGGGACGCCTGCCGCCGCGTCCCTGCAGCGACCGCACGGGGGTGGCGCGAGAAACCCTCGCAAGGAACCCAACCCTGAGAACCCGTGCGCGGGGTGCACCTGGGGGGAAGCCTGGAGCACCCTGAACGCAGCAGCTCCTTCAACGGCTGCGGGAAGTCACCGCGCAGCGCGAGGAGCGAAGAAACCCAGGGTACCCTGATGAAAAGCAGATGATTTCTTGATGCGCGCCCTCAGTGTACGGGGGTGGCGCAAGATGCTTCACCAAAAAAGAACTCACTAACATTTTGGGAGGGGGCTTAAGTTAGGAGGGCCTTCCTGAGAAGGCAGGGGAGCTCGTGAGAAGGCAGTGGGGGCTTCTTGGAAGTCCTCCCAAGCGTCCGACGATAGCTCGGAAAGCCGACCTCCGTCTCGCACCACCCTCTTTTGCGCGCCGCCAATTGGGGGAAACGGGTCCTAGGGGTTCACGATCAAAAGAGAGGAAGGAGGAGGAGCAGCTTTCTCCCTCGGTCCTCCTGTCTTCCTCGTCGTCGTCCACTGGGAGCCCTGCATCTGTGCAGTATATACACTGCGATACACGTGTCTTCGACAGAATGTACATGTTTCGTTGCTCGTCCCATGCTCGCAGTCCTACCGCGAAGACTGTCCACAAATTACAGTGTGCGCGGTGGCGCTTGTGAAAAGTTTCATGGTCATGCTCCTCTCCCCGAGCCTCCGCCTTGTCGTCGTTGTCGTCGTCCTCCTCCTCCTCCTCCTCTCCTCGTCCTCCTTGTTGTCGTCGTCGTCGTTGTCGTCCTCCACCTCCTCCTCCTCCTCCTCCTCCTCCACCTCCTCCTCCCCCTCCTCCTCCTCCTCCTCCTCCTCCTCCTCCTCCTCTTCCCCCTCCTCCTCCTCCTCCCCCTCCTCCTCCTCCTCCTCCTCCTCCTCCTCCTCCTCCTTGCACGCGCTACGCAACGCCGGCCCGGCGCCCACCTGCCGCGCCCCAGAGGACCCGGGGCGGGGAGGCGGCCTGCCGCGAGCAGGTGGCCAAGCAGCAGGGCCCGGTTCACCGGGTCGGAGAGGTACAGCATCAGCCGCAGCGAGCAGATACTGGGAGGGCTCTGCTATTGGGGGAGGGAGGAGGGAGGGAGGGAGGGGGAGGGAGGAGGGAGGGAGGGAGGAGGAGGGGAGGAGGAGGGAGGGGAGGGAGGGGAGGGGAGGGAGGGGGAGGGATGGAGGGAGGGGGAGGGAGGGGAGGGGGGGAGGGAGGGGGAGGGAGGGGGGGAGGCAGGGGGAGGGAGGGGGAGGGTGGAGGGAGGGTGGAGGGAGGGTGGAGGGAGGGCTCTGCTATCGGGGGCCACGACAAGGGCGAACAGCCCAGGGGAGAGCAGCACATGTATCCAAGAGCGCCGATGGTCCACACCCTCGGCGAGGCTCCCAAGCGAATGCTTCTTGTCGCCTCCGATGCTGGAAGAAGAAAAAGCGGCATAAACATACTCTTTTAGAGCTCCGCGCGGATTTCTTGGATCTGCGCTGGCCCCCCCAGGCGGGGCCTCCGGCACCGCCCCTGGCGCGCTCCGCGCGCCAAAAGTTATGCAGATGGCGCGTTTTCTTCTTCGATCTGCGGCAAGGCATGGGAGTCTCACGTGCCATCTTGTTGGCTCGACGCTCATTCCCTCCTCCAGTCCTCCCCTCGTCCTGCCCCTCCTCTCCTCGTCCTCCCCTCCTCCCCCTCCTCCCCTCCTTCTCTCCTCCGGTCCTCCCCTCGCCCTCCCCGCGAATCGGCGCTGAATCTGTGCTCGTCGACGCACGGTACACCAGCAGCCGCAGCGAGCAAATCCTGGGGGGCAGGGGAGCAACCAATAGCGCAAGCGTAACAACTCGGAGGCCCGCGAAGATTTCTGGGCTCGGCACTGGAGACCCATGGCGGCGCCTCGACGCCGCTTGCGGCGCGCGCCGCTCGCCACGAAGAAGGGCCCAGCGCCGATCCGAGAGATCCGCGCGGACCTCGGCGTTGCTGTCTTGGGCACTGCTCGTTCCGCGCAGGAGGGGCACTCGTGAGGAGTGGCGTGCGCCTTGCGTGCGCCCCGTGGGCTCGCGGTGGCACGTCGGGTGCAGTTGTGGACCCCTTTCCTGGACTTCTCGATCCCCCGCAACAAAAAAAAACGAACTGGCCCCCTCCACCCCAGGAGGCAACTCCTGGGAGGTCTTCGCAAGAACGATCAAGATCTATGAAGGTGGGATGCCTTGACTAGGACGGAATCAGCGGGATAAAGCGAACCTGAGCATGATCACGCCAGATTCGGCGTGCTTCGAAAACGGATGTGCCAGCGTGGATCCTGAATTAGATCTCCCAAGAGCTGCATCCGAATCTTTCCCTCCACGAGCAACACCACGGGTGACACAACCTCCTCGCGACTGAAACGGTCGCTCGGCGAGCTGGGAGCACGAGGCCGCCCTGCAATGGGCAAACTTATGCTGCGAACTGCGGCCTGAGCAACAAGTCGACCGACAACAAATCGACCTCAGGCGCTGCGTCCTAGCCTACCGACGGCCCAAGCGAGGGGCGCGGGTTTCGGGAGAGGGGGCGCGGGGCGCGGCGCAGAGCGCTGCGGGCCGCGCCCTGCGTGCTGCGGGGCATTCGGCCGGGGACCCCTTGGAATCCCCCCAAGCGGTCACTCGGTGGTTTCCCCGCGGTCTTTGGTGGCAATGGCCGGTCTTTGGCGGCTTTCTGCGCGAAAGTTGGAAAACATACGAACTACGCTTAACTCACCACGCGGTGGGGTCACCGCACCTTTTGGGGGCCCCCGAGCAATTCTGTTCCATGGAGCGATGGGCCCGGAAGACGACAAGTAAAACATACTCAAACAATATTCAAACATGGTCAAACAAGTAATCGGAAAATCGTCTCCCAACTATTCTTTGACCATTTTTGGAACATCCCCCTGTATAAGGACAGGCCCGACTTAACTTTGGCTTCCGATCGACAATCGAGATTCGAGGGCGGGAGCGGGGGACGCAGAGGCGGCAGCCGGGCACCCAGTCCTAGGTGTGATACAACCTCAGCGGATGAAGCAAAACAACATATTGGAGGCCTGGGAATTGGCACCAACACCAACACAGGGGGTTGCCTCCACAGGGGGAAGATGATCCTCGATTTCGGCGTTGGTGGTAACATGTCGGTCACCTCGGAAGCCAGAATATTGCCACCATCGCCGAGATCGGGATCTTCTTCCCTCGGTGGAAGCACACCGCCGATATTGGTGTTGATGTCAACCTCTAGGCCTGCGAACATAAACATGCATACTTCGAAGGTCCGCGCGGATTTTTCAGGTCGGCGCTGGGTCCCCCCACCTGTCGCGCGGAGCGCGCCAGAATGCCGATGGACTCAGCCCAAATTGAGCTGCTCACCTAAACCGCTTTCCAGCACCTGGTCGGAGACGACGCGCGCCTTCTCGGCCTCAGAGCATGTGGACCGGGACGTATCCCACGTCTCGATGGGGGCTCGGGGCTTCGCTCCCCCCCAACGCGCGGCGAACCAAGGCCGCGAGGCCAGCCGCCGAAACCCAAGGATTAGATCGGGCCACGGTCTTGAACGCGCGCAACCTGAGGCCCACAGACGGCCCTATCGGAGGTCCGCCGAGACCCGTGCACCCGTCGAACCGCAACATGTGGAGCTCTGTTTTGGACGCCCGAAATGGGTATGGAAAGAATGGGTACGATGCCCAACAGCAGTTCCTGTTCATTCTGAACAGGACTCGCTGTCCACGCAGCCGCGGCCTGTGTCCATTCGAGACAGGAGGCCGCCTGCCCAACAGCGGCCGCTGTTGGTTTGGGACACCATTTGTCGTTGGGCATTGTACCCATTCTTTCCGTACCCATTTCGGGCGTCCAAATCTGTCAACGGCGCCCCCAATCCGCGCTCCCCGCCGCGCCGAAGCTGTCGAGCCCCTCGCTGGGCCCACTCCGCATCCGCTCCTGCCTCGCGCAGGCGGGCGAAGCGCCCCGAGGACCTGGCCGACTAACTCCAACGCGCTCTCGGCCCCGAGGTTCGAATCCGCCCCGAATTTCCTGGTGGAGTCGACCCCCCTCTAGACGCATGCGACGGTAGTTTTTTCTTGAGCTCGTCGGCGACGGCCCTGTTGCTGAACGAGAACTAGCACTTCTGCAATTACGCCGGGGGCTCGACCTCACAGGGATCGGAGGATCCCAATCATCTCGGAGAAGAACCAGTCAGACACCACCTCGCGGGGGCCGCGGCGCTAACGGGTCACGTCGCCGACGGTGCTCCGAACCTGAAGCTGGAGACCGCCGGCGGCCGTCGTGCTGAGAGGGCCAAATAGGAGGAGCTCGGCCACCGCTGATGCCGCTGAACACCCTACCATCACGGCCCCCGTCGCCTGGTCGCATATTGCGATCGCCCCGTCAAACATCAGCGCTTCAGCGCTCCGGGCCCTGAGTGGACGGTCGCGGGGCCACGCGAAACCCTCAGGTATAATCCAAACCGGCGGCCCGCTGAACAAAATGTCAGCATGCATGTAACGCGTGCTCGTAGAACTTCGTGGAATTGAGCGACGCGGCAGCACGGCCCGCGCCCCCTGCGCGGCAGAGCGCGCCGATGAGGTCGCGGGCCCAAAGGCTTCCTCGCGCGAGGTCGTCGGACCAATCCCTCAAACAAGCGCCGCGCCGCGGGCCCGTTCCCAGACCCTGAACAAGGTTTGATAGACGGATACAGCAGCCTGATCAACCGAACCCCTCCTTCAAGTTTCGGCACGACAACAACATTATTCACAATCAACTCCAACAAGATGGGAGATCCCCGCAGGCCTGGGTGATCGACGAAATAAACTGCCGGTGCACTGGGGGGCAACTGGGGGGTCGGCCCAGGGCCGCACTGGCCCTGACAGAATCGAACTCCATCAGGGCATAGACTGCAACGCGCCAGCAGGCCCTCCAAGGTAATCCGAGGGAGCTCGCTCTCACCCATGCCCCAGGTGGAAGGGTCGACGGCAACGCGGCGAGCTGGGGCCCGCGCCGGGAGCCGCTCGTCCGGGAGCGGGGCAGCGGCGTCGTCGCCAGTCGCGCGTAGCCCCGCGTAAGGTCCCGCAGGTTCGAAGGGGCCACGCGCCTCATCTTTGCATGGGCGCGAGAAGCCCCCATCCTTTCGGCGCAGCTTCCTCCGCCCAGGGCCTCCGCTGGCGGCCTCGCTCTCGCGCGACAAACTGCCGGCGGCGCCGCGCATGGCCCTGGCCGGGTCGCGTCGCCGCCAGAGGCTGCGCCTCGACGGATCTGCTCAAAAAGAATGAGCAGCTCGTGCTCGCTCGGTCGTCCCAAGCCCCGTTGGTGCTACAGCGGTTTCGGGGGGTCCTCGGCGAACGCGATGTCTAGAACGCCCCGCAGAGTGCCGGCCCGTCTCGAGGCCGCGACGTTGCCCCCTGCGTCCGAGAGGCCCCGCCGCCGGCATCGCGGCCCTGAAGGCCAAACTTTGACGCGCCATCCAGCGCGTCGTAGCCGGGCTGCGGCGCCTCCTAGCCTCTCGACCCCGCGGAGCCTGGAGGGGCACCGCGGACGTTTGGGGGCCCAAACCTCTCCCCGCGCAGGCCCCCGGCGCATCGCGGAAAGTCCTGGGCCGAAGCCCCGCGCTGTTCAACAAATTCCTGATGGCCCCGGGAACAACTTCTGACGGCGACCTCTGGAGCCAGGGGGGGCCCGCCATGCAGACCGCGGGGGAGCTCCTGAACGCATCCTGGGCGAGGCCTTCCCCTGGGGCCCCCGGGGGATCGCGGCGGCGGGAATACGCGGCGACGAGACGAGCGAGTCGAAGGCCACCACCATGCGAATGCAATGCCTCAGGACATTGGCCCCCGCGAAGAACTCGGCCCCGCTCTCCGCCCGGAACCCGCCCCTGCGAAGCGCCACCCCCGAACTCCACGCGCCTCGCGAAACGAGCGGGGCTTCCGGGCAGGAAGATGGCGCCGCGCGCGCGCGTCGAGCCAGCCCGGCGCGATCGGCTCAATTGCGGGCGCGACCCCGAACGCCCTGGATATCCCGGAGAACCACGGTTCAGGTCACCGCGAGCGAGGCTCTCGAGGAGCCCCCTGTTCGCGCCCA